TAGAAACCGGCTGAGTGCAAGGCACCACGAAACCCTCATGCAAACTTATCTAGACAGTATATATATAAATCATATGTATATATATATATATATACATATACATATACATATCAAACGCCATACGTCGCGCAGAGAAACTTCCTTGAATGGATTTGATCTTCTGACCAAAAATTCACAAGTGAAAAATGCAGCTTCGGAAAACAAACAATCGAACATGGAATGCTGTAAGCACGCTAGCACTTTTTCAAGGCACAGCGGGGGAATGTACGAGGATCCCGTTTTTGAACCCCAATTCATCTGATCCCGTTCCTGCCGTTAACTGTGCTTCCACCTCGCACCAGTCAATGGTCACACGTTCTACGCCTAAGGCGTCTAACTCCGAGGTTTCCAAGCGGCTGGGTTTGTCAGCCAAGTTGCTGCTAGTCGGTACCCTAGCAAACCACAGCTTGATTTGGTAAAGCATCTCGTCTTTGACAAAACGTTCAATGATCTTTTGACCATGTTCTGTATTCGTTGCTGCATGTGAAAGTGCACCTCTTGCTGCCTCGTTGTCCAAATACACAACACATTGGCTGTGTCTCATTCTTGGCCCCCAAAGCGACATGGCGCACCCTATTGGTATAAGCTCCAGTTCAAAGATTGGATGCTCAGATTGACTGAGTAACTTGTCCATCAGTCTCTTTGGTACCTTCTCTGCGAAGTACTGAGTCAGCTCCCCTTCAGGGTTTACCAAAATGGCTCCAACTGTTCCTTCTTTATTCTGTTCACCTTCGCAAGCTCCGTCACTAAAAACAAGCCAAGTTCTAAGGTTTGTTGATTGTATCCGCATTGGAGGCGCCGACAAAACTCTGTTTCTCAAAAACTTTAAGGCCAAAAGTTCTGCCCCAGTCAGCGCTTTCTGGGTCCTTCCTTGAGAAGCCAAACTGCTAAGCTTCCTCAACGCCTGCTGTGCCAAGCGCCCTCCCGCAAAACTTTCAAACCATTGCAGTCGTCCTCTCAAACGTTCAGCATCCTTTGGTGTCATGACACCTGATTCCAGGAAACCGCTCAATACAGTCTTCAACTCTTCAATTCTGCTCTCTGTATGTCCCAGGAGTACTACTCCTTTCTGTTCCGAGGGCCTCAGGTTGAATTGCACCCCCAAGGTCTTGACTGTAGTGTCCCAGGCGACTGCTTTCTTTCCATCACGTGCAAACTGAATCCCCAACAGGTTGAACAAACTCTCACATGCTATGGCTGCACTGTTGGAGGACAAACGTTTGGAAAGAACCGTGAAATCGTCGAAAAAACTGGTCCAACACAGACGAAGGCCACGAATCCCCAGGAACCAAACTGCCATTGATATCCTCAAAAAGGCACTCACTGACCCTATAGCCCCGAAGGGCAGGGCATTTATGCCCAGAAATTTCACTGCTTTTTCTTCGGGGTTCCAAACAGCTAAGCGCAGTGTTTCTCTGTCTTCTACACAGACTCCGTACTGCTTGTATGCGTTTTTCAGATCATATGTCTTTCCAACTACTTCGTCCATAGAGCCTTCAGTGAGGTGTGTAAGGCACCAGGCAATGTAGGCCGCCATCTCATCTACAGAGTGAACCCTCAGCCTCTCGCTCGACCCACATGTACTATTGAAACCACCTATAGTGCAGTCATCAATAAGGCGCACCTTTTCGCCTTGCTGCAAGCCAAACCTCTTCGCCAGCAGTTTTGTTTTCAAGTCGCAATGGTCATCCAGCCATGTCCAACCTTTCTCCAACTCCTCCTGCGTCTGCTTCCAAACCTCATGGCTAAGAGCATCATCAGGTGATTCTGCTACCTGTTTGCAAATGCTGTGGTTAACCCCTTTTGCAAGTTTCTTCGCAGTGTCCATGTCATAAGCAGGTCTCTTAAACGCTGGTGGGAAGATCCCTGATTTTTGCAACCATCCCGAAAGTTTAAAACCCTTGCAGATGTCTTGTACCAAGTGTTCATCGGGGTAACCAAGGTCGTTCAGCATCTCCTGGAAAACCAATAACCGTTTCCCACGAAGTACCTGTTGTAAGTGGGGCTTCAGTGAGCCATGCAGTTCTTTCTCTTTTGACTCAAGCTCTTTGCACCTAGTGGTCCACTTCATCAGATATGCTGCTCGCTCCTTCACCAAAGAGTGTAAATCACCTGCAAAGTTTTGTTGCAACATGTTGGTTACCTCTTCATTCAAGTGTATTGCCAGTGATCGCGGGTGTCCCACTTCAATTGCTCTAGCCAGAAAATCCCAAGGGTCTCTTGGGATGCCCATAGTGCACAGCTCCGCTGGAAAAACAGTCTGTACCCCTACCTTTCCCAACATGGGTGATTCCCTGTCCAATTTGTACTCTTTTTCCCTTGTAGACCAGTAAAAAACATTCCCACCAACTTGTTCATCGACCCGTATCGTCCCCCATTGAATCTGTCGTTGAACGATTCTGGCCCCTTTGGGCTTTGTTGAAAAGAAAACTGAATCTTCTGGATCGCAGTTGACAGCATTTAAGAAGAAAACATAGTCCCTGAACTCACTGACTAGTGGTTTCAGCTTCTTCCCTTTGGGGAGCATGTCCAACACCCAACGGTGCGATGTCGTGCTCGACAATGGCAATTGTGTTTGCAAAGTCACAGGGTTTTGTGCGCCATGCTGTAACGCATAGTCCAAAAGAATTGCCATGATTCGCTTACAAAGCAAGTGTGGATATGCTGCTTCCGCCGCCGTGGGGAACTGCAGATTTTTCCCCACTGGCACTGGGTTCCATTTGGCATGACTATGGCTGTTGTCACAAAAAACTCTGAAGGCTTCGAAGGTCTCGTCAGTGGCCCACCATTTTGTAAGCTTGTTGCGGGTCCCTCCATGCATACAGTTGTGGAATGACACACTGTGTCCACCGATTGTTTCCATGATTGCTGCAATTGCTGGGAAAAACCAAAACAAAGAGTTTTCTGGTTTTTCCACTGAACACAGAATCTGAAGATTGTAACATACTTCAATTAACTTGGCTGTGGCTGCATAAACAAGGTTTGCTGTCTCCGTCCGCACTTTATCCAAACCTGAAAGTCCATCAATCCCCATTGGTTGCTTTTGCGACCGAAGCGCTTTGCAAAGGAGGTCAGTTTTTTCTCTCTTGCCCTTGAGGCTGTGCCACAGGCAGGTGCTAAATGCACTGCCAGTATCCTGTCCTTTTCGGTGGTGAGGATTTCAATGATGGCTTGTAAGGATTCTGGTTCCGTCAGATCATACTGTGCAATGAAAATCTGACTCGCCCTTGCTGTAGTTTTGTCAATTGGCAGAGCTTGGAAGCCTGTATCTCTTGCAATTTTTGAAAGCCGTGCCGTCCCTGCAAAAATCTCCACAAAAAGTAAATCTTCAACACATTTGCCAGAAAATTTCGTGATACCGCAACTTGGATTTTGCAAGTGCTGTGAAACCTGTTGCTCCACCGGGTGATACGAAACTTCTTCGACTTGGTCGATTGAGTGACACACCATAGGCTTTTCGCCAGTCTTGTTTACCTTCTTTGTGAAAGCCTCTTTCGCATGCTCCAGCCTTCTCTTCAAGAAGTCACGCTGTGAAACTGTATTGTTGTCACCTAGTCAGTTGGTGCGGCACGTCACAAGACTGTGGTTTGTGCGGTGACATTTGATACAACAATGCTTCCCCTTCTTGCATCTGCCATTGCTATCTTATAAGAAACAACTTAGGTGCATAAACGCAGGTATACGCCACTTATACCTATGTATATATGTATGTATATATACATATGGGTATAAATGAGGGATACGCAAATACGCCGGAAAGTAAACACGGAGAAAAGGAAATCACCGAAAACGAATGCACATGCTGACATCACTGAAATGAAGTGTCTGAGTGGCGTTCCGTGCAGTCTTTCACTTTTTTCTGCTTGCTCCTTGGTCTGGGGCGTTTTCACAACTAAAGGTTTGAGCATGGCTATGCAGTTGCTGGATCTGCATTTTTAACGATGTCCAGGCGACTTTGTCAACTGGCATTTCGTGTTTGGTGCTCAGGTGTTGTGCCCCCCACCACAAGGGATGGGAGGGCGGGCCAAAAGAAAGAAGGTTGTGAAGGTGGAACTGTTGTCTGTTTTCTTTTTTAACCCACCTCAACCTCACCCTTGAGATGATAATGGCCATGTTGATATAAAGATGGATTGAGTTCATGAGGAAGAGTGGCAAACTGTGTGTTAAAACTTAAGGTTGGAAGCACAGTGTTAAAATCCTCATGAGAAATAAAATACGCAACAAAGCAAATGTTTTTTGCCAAGCACCAGGTTTTGCACCTAAGGAAAAATTTGTTTGAGTGTTGTGTCAAATTTTTCAAATTGTTTCCTTCAAAGATAATGCTCTCACTTCGTGATAGCACTCATCTTATAAGAAACAACTTAGGTGCATAAACGCAGGTATACGCCACTTATACCTATGTATATATATATGTATATATACATATGGGTATAAATGAGGGATACGCAAATACGCCGGAAAGTAAACACGGAGAAAAGGAAATCACCGAAAACGAATGCACATGCTGACATCACTGAAATGAAGTGTCTGAATGGCGTTCCGTGCAGTCTTTCACTTTTTTCTGCTTGCTCCTTGGTCTGGGGCGTTTTCACAACTAAAGGTTTGAGCATGGCTATGCAGTTGCTGGATCTGCATTTTTAACGATGTCCAGGCGACTTTGTCAACTGGCATTTCGTGTTTGGTGCTCAGGTGTTGTGCCCCTGTGGAAAAGGAGAGCAGCACTGAAAGGTCGTCCATGGAGTTCAATTATTGCGGTGGCAAGTTCAGTGGAGGCATCGACAACGCCACCGTCGGAAACATTGAAGCGACGCATGGCCTCACTCAGTTTATGCCGCGATGGCAAACCCCGGGATTGGAAAACGAGCACACCCGTCTCGTCCAAGCAAAGACTGGCCACGCAATTTTCATGTCTGCCAAAGCTCTAGTTAGAGCCCTCATGGTGGGCGATGAGCTCGAAGCCTTTATTCAGCGTATGGCATGAAGGCTGCCACCAAGTGTTTCAAGGCTTTCCCTGAAAAGAAACCTATGGCAAACTTCAGGAGGCCCTGCAACTCGCTGGCCTGTGCTATGGTGATCTCTCCTGCACTCTTGACTTTATCCAAAAGAGCGCAGAGTTTCTCAATTCTCGTAGTTTTGTTGGTGACCTGCAAAATCCCTTTGGGGGTCAAGGCAAGGTTAAAGTTCACGCCCAGCAAGTCGAAGGCACCAGCAAGGTTCAACGCTTTATCGCCTTCTTTGGCGTGTTCCCACCCCAGCACGTCCAGCACTGCGCTGAACGCAAGAGAAAGAACCCTGCAGCCCGGGGCTCTTTCCAAAGTGGGGAAGTCATCGAAATAGTGACTTGATACCGCAGACGGCAGCTTAGTCACTACGTACCATATGGCTTGAGACACCCTCACGAAGCCGTACACGCTTCCAGTGCAACCAAAGGGCAGGGAGATACTTTGATGGAATCTCCAAGTGCCACTCACAGGAAATCCTACCACCGCATGTTGTTGGTGAGCAGGGAGAATGGCAAGTTGTTTGTAAGCTTTGCTGAGGTCAAAGGTCTTGCCCATCCATTCATCTCCCGACACACCGGCTGCCGCCGCTTCTGACATCAAAAACAGAACCATGTTAGCTGCATAGTCCACGTCCTGGAGTTGCAATTTAACCGTGGAACTGTAAGCTGCATTGACCGCACTCCTTTTTGCATCATCGATCACCCGGATCTTGCCACCAGTGCCCTGGAAAAGGACGAAACGCGGGCTGAGGGACCAGTCCTCAGTTTCCAACAAAACGGAGATTTCCTGCCCCGAATGTGGCCCTTCCAAAAAACCCTTTGCCACTTCTTCAGCTGTAGTTTCAAGGAGAGCGGCTTCCTCCTCAGGTTTGGAGCGCTTGGATTGGCACATCAGCGACTTCCGCCTCCAAGCTGATGATTGTAGCAACTCATCCTCTGTGATGGACGCTGGCACCAGCTGCTCTCTGTATCCCTTAGGCGCAGCTTGCAACCCAACTAAAGGAATTCCCTGCTTCAACAGGGAAACAACTTCCATATCCCAAAAATCAAGCTGCTTGAGGGCGTGTTCAAAAAGGAGGATGTTCTTGGTCACTGTGCATCGCTTGACATCTGGGTGCATTGTGTCCTTGAGGGCCAACTCTTGGCACTTCAGCTCGTTTGTCAATTTGCGCAGGTTGAAAACAGTGGCCAAGCGCTCTTTTGCAAGTATCAGCTCGTGTTCCTGTGGTACCTGTGTCTCTTCTGGCTGCTCAGTGCTATGGTGCCCCTGTGAAAAAGGAGCTGACAGGAGCTTATGTGATTCATGCTGAATGGGGGCGTCTGTGTGAAAAACCATTGCATACTCTGGAATCAACGGCTCGTGCCGCAAGGTCTGATGCCCCAAGCTGAGGTTGAGCAGCTCCTTCAGGCGTGGTTGAAGGCTTGGGATGACCCCCATTTGTTCTGCCGACTTTCGCACACATTCAGCCATGCGGTTGCATAGCAGTGGAGGGTATTCAGCCTCCATAGCTGTCGGAAAAACAACGCCATGCTCGCTACGAAAAGGCTGCCAGGAGGCATGCTGATGGTCCTTTGAACAGTCAATTGCCAGGGTGGAAAATAGGTCACTCATGGCAAGCAGTTCCGTGCGCTTGTCTCTTGAGCTGCCATGCGCACATGCATCAAAATAAACTGTCTCCAATTTCGAATACCACAGCATAAAAGGTTGATCTTGAGTCTCATGAACCAGGAGCGCCAGCAGTGGCCACAACCAGGAGCGGCCGGGGTTCTGTATGGACACCAGGCAACCCAAAGCAAAACACAGTTGTAAAATGACAATTGCTGCACGGTAGAGCTGGTTCGCCAAGGTTGCCTTGGTCAGGTCAGCCCCACAAAGGTGAGGCAGGCCCAACAAGTCGTCGGCATCCCTCAAAGGTTGAGGGCCTATGTGCCCACCCATGCTTTTTGGCATGGGCTTTTCTCTTGCTCTGGGGCAAGTACCGCACGGCAAGCCCAGGTGTATGTAACAAGGCTTGACAAACTTTATCATTGACTCCAGTAACTGCAGTTGCTGCAGATTTGAAACATCCAAAACCAGCGTTCTAACCTTTGGTGAGTGCCGGTTGGCTGCGTGGTCGATTGTGTGGACGTGGAAACCCAGACGCCTTAAGGCGGAAGACAATCCCGCTGACCCACAGCAAACTTCTATAGTCACTGGTTGCAAGGTGAAAACTGCATCCTCCACAAAATGTGTAGGGGTGAAATTCAACTGCTCCTCCGCTCGCAAGTGTCAGATTGGGCATTCGTTGCCCGGGTGGTTCTTGTGGCATCCCTTCTTCCAGCACATATGATAACCAACCATGCATCTCTTTCCTGGTTTAACCTTTGCAGTGCATCTTCCAATCTGCCAACGCTTGCATAGTTGCTTCCCGTCAACAAAAATTTCGCAGTTGTCAGGAACTTGAATCCCAGGGCCGGGCGCCTTGGCCTTGCCCTTGCCCTGTTTGCCTTTGCCCTCAGAAAACTGTTGACCTTTTCCTTTTGCTGAGTGGGGAAAGCCCGCACCTTGCTCAGGTCTGGATGATGTGCTGCTTTGCAACGGAGACATGTGCTGCAGTACTTCAGGGTGTTCAGAAAACTTCTGAAAGGCTGTGTCAAATGCCTTTGGATCTCCCGTTTTGGGCTGAAGCTGTCCCCTGGTTTCGTTCGACAGCTTTACCCAAAGAGCCTTGTCGGCGCTGAGAATCTGCTCAGCTGAAATACTGCGGTAATTTGCCAAAGGGGCCTCATTCATCTTTTCAAATAGCTTCTGCGTCCACAAATCCATCACTGAAAAGGTTCCAATGCCAGCCAGGTCGTAGGCAAGGTTCCTACGTAAGAATGCCTGTCTGAGGCGATGTTCTCCTGTCACGTTTGTATCTTCCAACTTCTGCCTTTTACTGAGTTTCAGGCCACCTGACAGGTCCAAAGACAAGGCAGTATCTGTCTTTGCATGCAAGGTTTCATCTTGTCTTGACGTACATTTCTGAAGTTCAATGTATGAGACCACATTGTCGTCAAGTTGCTGGCAAACCTTGTCAATAAGGCTATGCGACGGCTCTGATTGTGGAGTAAAACTTATGCCAGCAAGTCGCTCCTTTTGGAGCCTAATCCTGTCCATCTTTTCTGCCAAAGGGATGACCCGAGCTTCACTTGACTCAGACCGTTCTGCTCTTGATTTCAAGTCTTCGAGTGATAGTGCATGCGCCTCGAAAAACAGCCTACGAAACTTCGATGCAACTGAAGCTGAAGGCTCGGCTCCCAGCGTTGCGGTCAAAAAGGCTGTCAGAGGTGCATCATCAGCTTGACCAGGCTGAAAATTGCAACAATAAGCATAGGAAGCATAACTGGTTATGTTGACTCCCTTCAGCGCATCAATCTCAGCTTCTGTAATCCCCAGTTCCAGTGCGCGATTTGTGAAAGCAACTTTGGAATCAATTGCCATTGAGCTCGCGGGCAGGTGCCCAATGAGGGCTATCTGAAAGAATGCAAATTCAGTTATTGAAGCCAGTTGAGGGTCCACAATGAAACAAAGTTGGGGGGAGTGAAGGAGAGGAAACCAAGACACATGAGTATCCCGTGTAGCGTTACAATAACTTCACACAAGGTTGGTTAGCCATGAAAATTTGGCGTACCAAGCTAAACTTTGTGCAATGTCGTGGTGTTCACGCAGCTCAGCCAAAAAATTGCAAATGAACTCGGATACTCCGATCACAAGGACAATTCACAACTGACCTCTGCCACATGCAAATAAAACATGTTAGGCATTGGGTTCTTGTTGAGTGGTCCTGCAATGGCTCCGGTTTGAAATGCAATTTTGGTCATGGTGTGAGTTGGCGTGAATGACATGTTGCAACTTGGTATGAAAAGATGCAACTGGTTGCACTCAATTATGCTCAGAAAGAAGCAAATTAAAACGACTCACTGAAGTAGAACCTTTTCTTTTTAATCTGATGCGCGACAGCAAATGCCTCGTTCCCTGCAAAATCTTTGGAATGCCGGGACTGCCGCCACTGAGGTTCATTTAAATTGCACTGTCCGGGTTTGCCGCTCTGAAAGAGTGTGAGCAGCTGGCACAGATCACGGTCTCCGCATTGGCCAAATCATCCCTGGATGCCTTCCTGAATGATGAGGAGGCACATCTTCCACACCAAAATTTCTGTTGTCCCAGAAGCTGCAAGTGAACGACCCTGGATCGTGTGTTGATGAAGCAGTGATCTCGGTCAATGTCTGCTGCATCCAGCCGTCTAAAAGAGGACGGTTCCTGCTCGCGGTGCTCGCCCTCTGACGAGGCCACACTTGAAGCATCAGTAGAGATGGATGAGGAGTCACTATCATCATCTGACTGCAATTCTTGAGCCCTGGCCATCGTAAGCTGCAGCAACCTTTGAACACGACTGCCATCAGGGTTGAAAGTACCTGCCTTGATCTTGTCCATCATGTCATGAATCTTTTTGCAGAGGCCGATCTGATTGTCACGGGAGTAGATCAGCGCAGACTTGTAGTGAGAGCTCACATGGTGTCCAAGCGCCAATTGCTCCTCCGGGGTGAACAACATGCTCTTAGCTGCCCAGCTCAACATCGTGGCCTTCAAGCCGTGCACAGTCAGCACCGCTGACCGGTCAGGCCCAACCACGGGCTCCAGCAATTCCCTCAGCCAGAATGTGGCCTCAGCAGTTGACATCTTTGTGTCTGCCCAATCGCCTTGATGTTCGGACCAGGAACACAAAAAGTGGCACCATGCAAAGCTGCCTGAATCCTCTCTTGCACTCAACCATGAATCTGCCCAGTTTTCAACAGCCAGGGTCTGTCCCAGTGCCGTGAAAGGCAGCAGCTCCCTTTGTTGTTCCTTGGTGCGGGACGACTTGTGCTTCGACGTTGCCGCCTCCAACAAGCAAAGGTGGTCTGCCTTCGACAGTTCCATGGAAACAACATGCATTGAGTCATGCCACCTTGCAGCAGCCATCATGCAAAAGAGAAAATGACCAGCAATGACACGGTGATGCAGTAACTCATCTTGCAAACAAATGGATTCCAGCTGTTGAACTTCGGAGACAGTGAGCACCTCTGCTGGCCGGCGCACCCTCTTTGTAAGATATATGGCATGTGAGGCCCCCACAACACGTGCACTGAGCATGTCATCAAGGCTGGTCTTGCAAAAACCAAGCAGGGCATTTGAGAAGCGCAATGCCTCAACAAATTGTGCTGGCGTTGTTGCCCCAGCCTCTGAAGTGCGAAGGTGGCAAATGTAGGTGTACACAATGCCCTCGCTCTGGCTGAACGGAGACCCCAAAAACTTGGTTTGCAGCCAACACGAAAACCTCCACATGGAATTGCAACGCTTGAGAATTGTTCCAGAAGATTTCGGTGCAAAAACATCATTGAAAATCTGTCCCAGTTCCTCGTTTGAACACAAAGTACCAGCAAAGGTCAATAATGATAATCCAAGTTTTGTTGCATCGACTTCCAGCAAAACCATGGTCTTAAACCTGGATAGAGACAACCTGCGAAAATCATCATCACTTGAGACGACCCTGGTCGACCTGAGGCGCTGGACTGTTGCTTCCAATTGCTTGACAGGGCGCGGAATCGCTGCTGCTGAGTCACTTGCAGTAACATGGTCAGACATGCCCACGACTGAAAACAAACTAACAGTTGCAGGTTTTTCCCAAAACGGCTTCTGTCTTGCAAATAAAGGAGATAGTGGCCCTCTTTGCCATGGTTGCTTCAGCTCAGAAAAATGTCCGTGCACCTTCATGGATGCGAACTCATCTGCCGTGCGCTTCACTCCAAGGCTGCGTGTGACTCCACTCACAAGGCTCTGAGGTCTGGACTTCGGTCTGGGCTCCAGGAAACGTTTCTGGGAGCCCTCCGACAAAGTTGAGCCCTGTTCCAGGTTCTGTTCAGGGTCAAGCGGCAAAACAAGACTGCCCTCAGCATCAGAACCTGCGAAACCATGCACATGAAGAAAAGAGTCATCAGCCACATCCGAGAATTCATCACGCTGCAAACCAAAAAGATCCTGCTGTGAGTCCTCAAATTGATTGCCGGCAGTCCCATGCTGTCTGGACAAAACTTGACGATGCCAGCGGTCTCTGAAACCACCTTCAACCACAACCATTTGGACTTGTTTGAGTGTTGCACCCCCGTAAGAAAGAAACAAGTCAAAAGCCCAAATGAGGATGACACTGAGTACCAGTAACACGTTTCTGTGCATGAAACGGTATAGTGTCGTCACGGTCTGAAAAGCAGTGCGCCCCCTGTGTCGGTTGCAGAGCTTCGCATGCAACTACGGAGCGCCCCGCCAAAAGAAAGAAGGTTGTGAAGGTGGAACGAAGGTTGTGAAGGTGGAACTGTTGTCTGTTTTCTTTTTTAACCCACCTCAACCTCACCCTTGAGATGATAATGGCCATGTTGATATAAAGATGGATTGAGTTCATGAGGAAGAGTGGCAAACTGTGTGTTAAAACTTAAGGTTGGAAGCACAGTGTTAAAATCCTCATGAGAAATAAAATACGCAACAAAGCAAATGTTTTTTGCCAAGCACCAGGTTTTGCACCTAAGGAAAAATTTGTTTGAGTGTTGTGTCAAATTTTTCAAATTGTTTCCTTCAAAGATAATGCTCTCACTTCGTGATAGCACTCAACCTCATTCTTACAGCCACTTTTCAAGTTGAACGCCCAGCAAATAGCGTTGCCTGATTCGTCTTTCTGTGCGAACCCTGTGAGCTCCTGGGGGCAAAGTGATTTGGCCTTTGCCGAAGCTTTTGGCCGCTTGTTTGGCCTGGGATTGCCTGCCCCCGCTGGCCGAGGGTTACCACCTGCTGTCGACGAAGAACCCGTGGCGTTCTTTTCGCTCTCTTTCGGCGCCCCCTTTGGCAGAGGCAACATGTACATAGTGACCCTTGGGTCTGTGCGCAGCTCTTTCATTTTCTTCTCCATAGGAAATCTGCCAGCTGCATCTGGTTGAAGAGAGCCTTCGATCTCCTGTGCCATCAACGTGAACATCTCTCTGTCTGCTCTGATCACCTGGCCCGCTGATACCCTTGCATACCCTGTAGGGGGATCCTTTGTCAGCTGCGACAACAGTTGCTGCACCCAAATCTCATGTTCTGAATTGCTAATAAGGGCACATTGATCGAATGCCAATCCCCGTCTTTGCAAAGCCCATTGTAGTTGCAAATCTGTGGAAGTGTCCACAGCTGGTGGCTCCTCAGCTGAAGCCAACTTCACCATTTGTTGTTCCAGCGACAAGGTGACCGGCTTGTCTTTCATGTTCCCTTGGATCTCAGAGTCTCTCTTGCTGCATTTGCTAGGTGCTATCCATGTGACCGAGTCTGACTCTTTCATCTGTGCAACCATGTCGATCAGCGCATAGGAAGGCTGAAGTTCGCCCCGTATACGCACACCTTGCAACCTTGTTTCTTGGTCCCTCAGTCTTGCTGCTTTCTCAGCAATGGGCAGTTTTCTGACTGCGTCACCAGATGAATCCGTTGCTTTGGTCTTGAGTTCCGCCATGACCACTGCTGCAGCCTCAAAGTGAAGCCGTCTGAGTGCGGCCTGTGTACCAAAGTCCAGGTCCACCCCATCATTAAGTCTCGTTGTAAAGTCCTTGAACTGCTCGTCTGAAGGTGGCACTTGTGGTGTGCCAATTGAAAACGCTAAAGCACTGAGGTTTCGGATTCCTTTGCTTTGCAAAAGATTCAGCAATGACCCATCGGTCACTATTTTGTTGCAATGCTGGCCAAACGCCGCCTCTGAGTCTGCCAGTGACATGGCTCTCTCAAACCAGCTTTGACAAGTCCATTGCACGAAACAAGTCGCGTGAAATGTCAAAAATTTCACCAAGCAACCTTGATTTATGAAAACTTTGAAAAGGGGTATTGAAAAATGCAAGTCGTGAAGTTGTTCCAAACCTGTCACAACAAGCCATGAAAACTGTGCGTTTGTGAACATGTTCAAAGGACGTGCAACATGAAGCTTGCACATGTATGCCATGAGTCTGCACCGACCTATCGACTGCTGCGTTTCGAACCTGAAACTCAGTCGATTCCTCGATGCTCTCTCAGCCAATCCCCTTTGAAATCCTGCCTACAATCCTGACATGCCACTTGTGAGATGATGATCGCCGGCAAGAATGAAACCACTGCACATCCACTCAATCTGAAAAGCTATCACTGAAATGTTCATGCAAACTTCAGACAACACAAATGAAAATTTTGATTCAAGCTGAAGTTTCTGCAAACGACGTACAGCTGCTGCCTTATTTCACCGCTTCACGGTTCTGGAGCCTTAGCTGTCTTTGAGCCTGAAGCACATTCTGCATTTTGCAGAGTCGTACCTGACAAGGCCTTCATGTCGCCTGAAGTTTTGTCCAACCCTTCTTCCGCAGAGCAATACATTTCTATATTCCATGCGGGTCAAATGAAACATCTTTGAGTTCTGGTTTAACCACAACTGCTTGTCACTTGGAATTGAAATTTCATAGTGTCCTACCACTGGCGTGACCCTGACTTCTTCATCCGAGGAGTCGCTTGAGTCTGTTGTGATGTGCCCATTCAGCACTGGCTCTTCCACTGGAACTGTTTCAGCTGATTGGATCAAATTCCACGACTCCAGTTCTGAGCCCTCAGCATCCCCTTCCGTGGATTGCAAGGCATCTGCATGTTCAACCCTTTCATCAGGTGCAGTTGCAAAAAACACAGTCTTATCCAGCGACATCGCACCTGCATTCAACCTGCCACTTCTTGAATTGTCAGGCTCGAAAACACCTGTTCGTATCTCCATCAAAACATGTGATAGAAGTGCCAGTGGACGTGCAATGCTGTCTCTGCTGTAGGTCAGGGCCATGCGCATCTTATTCGAGTGGTAGCCCAAAACTAGCCTGTCCTCGATCGATGCACCTCGTTTTGCAAGAAAAGAAAGACATGTGCACTTGCATGAATGACTGGTAAGCTTGGCTTTGTTGATGTCCTCCAAACACAACAAGTGGCCTATCCACAACTTTGCCTCATGAGTTGACACGGGCCTTCTGGTGGCTTCCAACGCAATGTTTGGTGCTGGCATCAGCGGGAACTGTCTCATGTTTTCAATGCACAATATCTTCCTGACTTCCAACCACTGAGCTCCCCATGCATCATTGGTGACACGAGTTGCAGGCGCTGACAATGGCAAGAACATGTGACGCAAATGAAATGCACGTGCAGTTTTGTGAACAGCTGTCCTAACTTCCAAATGCACTATTTGACCTTGCCCATCAAAGTCAGGCAACAATTCCTCAGCATGCTGGGCATCCGACCACCTGGCTCGGCCATAGATGCAAAACAACAACATCCCTGCCATCGCACGGTCCCACATTTCAGGTCCCTCACGCAAAACCTCATGCAGCCTTTTGAGTTGCACTACAGTGAAAGGTGAAGCTTGACGTGGACATGTAGGGCCCTGACGTGATGCTGCTCCAAGACAACGTCTGCTATTAACCAGTGTTTGTAAGGGATCCATTCCAAGCACATGTCTTGCAAAAACCACAGCTTCAAAACAAGCCTTCAGTCTCGACGATGGAGCTCCGCTCTCAGATTCCGACTTCAAGAACTGGTAAAATTCATCTTCTTTGCATGGAAAACTCAAACCCTTAACTGCCAAGCTGTTGCACAACTTTGACAAGCTGTTCACACGTTTCATCAAGGTTTGAGGAGCCTTGTTGTAGAAAACATCCACCAGGATCTGCGCTTTCTCTGTGAAGCTGGTTTTACACTGTAAAGAAAGGATCAATAAGTTGTCACCTGCCTCACATGTATCCAAGACAGCAACCCATCTGCGAATTGCAATTTCCCACAAAGCGTCTCTCTCTTCCTGCCAACTTTTCTCGGGCACGTCCTTGATGTGCTTGATGAAGCTCTGCAGGCCAGGGTAAGCCTTAGAGACCACTCTACGATCTACTTCAGACTTTGACGCAGAAGTTGAGGTTCCCTCATAGTGAAAAGGTAATGGTCTCTTGAAGCCTTTGTGAAATTGTTCCAGCACAGGTTTGGCAGGGTCCAAAAAACCACTCCAAAAATCTTGCTCCCATGGCAACTTTGGAATCTCCGACTGCAAACTTGTCCATGCTGAACTAACAACTGCAGCAGTGTCATAGTTCCTAGAAAATTCCAAATCTGCATCAGCACTCTGCCCAGGCAAGAACTCTGCAAAGTCCGTCTTGGCGATCGATGGGGTATAGCTAACAGAACCTACTTCAAAACCAGTTTCCTGTGTTTGAGAACAGTGTCCAAGTTCAACATCAGGTCGCACTTGACTGGATTCCAAAAACAGGTTCTCCTCCAAATGAACTGTATCCATGGCCAACAGCTAACCCCCCATGCTAACTCTCGCCGAAAAAGCAAGACGGATCCCACACCACCCACCCTTTCTTGAGGCGAGCGCGGAAACATATAGTAAAAGTTTCCTTCAGATTTTCAGGTAAGGTTTTTGTTTCATGAGATTTTCTCATAAACAAGAAACCAAGGTTTAAACACATCTGTACCTATCGTACCATGTGTTTTGAAACTGTCAGGAAAAAGTTTGCATTTTGTTGAAGACATTTTCAGATACCGGGTTTCATAAAACATCTGGTGTGCATTTAAATTCTCAGCCTAATTTTTGTCACTACAAAAATTTTTCTGTTTGGTTCAAATAAAGGGATCATCACTGCTTTGCATTGAGTAACCCCTTCATCCGTTTGCGTTCGGGGCTTTCCCTTCACGCCTTTCCACCCCCATCTTGTCAATTTCGTGAAGGGAGTAACACGGCTTACATCTCGTGTAACCCGCCGTGTCCAAAGCTTGAAACTCAAGACGAGACGGAGCGTCTCCAGGGTTCGAAGGGGATGGTACTCTGGCATACCAATTCATGGACTGAGTGAGGACGTCTAACTCGGCATTTATGACCAGGAGCTCGTAGTTGTCAAACACAGGAGAAAAAGACCGAATGAGTGCCGACTGAGCTGAACTGTTGTCGACAAACCAAAGCACTGCTCTTCCTGAGATCTCTTTGATCCAGGTCAACTTTGAGACCAGCACTGGAAAAATTTCAGCTTGGCAAATCAACTGTGTCTTGCCTGATGCTCTCCATTTCGAGGTCCAACACTGGGGTATGTCATCCCCAAAGTACAGAAAACGGTCTTCAAAGAAGTCAGCAAAGACTGCGCCGTGGGTCACCTTTATGCCCTCTTGTTCGCAAGCGCCGTCAGTAAAGATCAGGATGGGCTTTGTCCCTGACCAGCCAGCAACAACACGAGGCCCTGATGTCTGCAGCATCTCCAACGCAGATCTGATGACTTGTTTCGTTCGTTCATCCAAAAGTACCAGAGGGCCAGATCGCGTGGCTTTGGCTATCAGCTGCACAGCCAATTGGGTGCATTTCCCAAACGTATGACCGGCTGCATAGAGCAGCCTTCCACGTAGAGTCTCTATTAATGACTGCGGCACCTTCGGCTTGCTGAGGATAGCATTCACCAGCTGTGCAATGTCGTCCAACCTGGCAGGCTTATTCCGTACCATGATTCTTCCATGGGACATTTCTGAAAGGTCCACAACCGCACCAAGCATCTGAAAACATGCTGCAAACGGAAGTCTCTTCTCCTCAGAGGTAGATATCTTCCATCCAAGTAGTTTCATAACCATCTCCGCGGTCTCCCAAGCATTCTGACATAGTGGGAGAGTTTCCAACTGGCAGAAATCGTCGAAAAAATTTGTATTGACCAGCAGGAACAACTGAGCCATGATGATCCTCAAAGCACGGGCCATCCTATCAAAAGACATCACTGCCGACACCGACCCAAATGGGAGTGCCACTGAATCGAAAAATTCGACATCGCCCTTTTTAGGGCACCAGACTGCCAACACCGATGCCCATGAATCTTCCGGGTGTCGAGCCAGCTGCTTATAGGCTGCTTTCAAGTCCAGCGCCCGTCCATGAAGCGGCCGCCAAGAGCCGACAGTTGGGGTTGCACCAAATGCAACCTTTGGGAAGCCTCCACCATCAAATTCGATGAGATCCGCCCCCATAAACACTCTAGCGGTGTTGACCACCTCGTCAATGCCATAAAGTGCAAGCTTCTCTGTGGTGGTGACCGAGGAGTTGATCAAAAATTCAGAAAAATCATCTACGGCTCTCACCTTGCCGCCTTGTCTAACCCCAAACCTCTTCGAGGGGATCCAGCAACCATTATGACGTTCGTCCATCTGTTGCATAGAGAAAGGACCTTGTACCCAACCATCATGAAGTTGTTGCATTGTTTCCTGGTACACGGCTTCCGCAATTTCAGGGTCAGACGCCACCCGTTTGCAGGATGCGTATATCATACGCTTGGCCCAGACTGCAGACTCCCTGAGTGGCTTAACGGTGATGGCTGCCGGGCGCAACTTTCTTGGGAACTGACCAGACTCACACATCCTTCCAGTTAACCTGAAGCCCTCAGTCAGCTCACTGAATAAAGTCTGATCTCCCACTCCAGCATCGTTGCACATCTGCTTGAACAAACACAGGCGTTTGCCTGCCAGTACCTCACTAACTTGTGGGTCCATAGATTGTCTCAGGTTCTTCTCCTCCACCATCAGGTCAACTGCGACTTGCATATAGTGTTTCAAGGCCTTTGCGCGAAAAGCCGCCACATCAGCTGCTGGCCAATCTCTGATCGCCAAAATGGCACGCAAGTTGGAGGACTCGACCAGTTGGGGTGAGTCCAATGGGTGTTGGAGAGTTGCTGCAAGCCGCAAAAACTCCTCTGGTGACCTGTAAACTCCAAACTCTGAAATTTGAATTTCCTCCTCGCCTTTGCACCCCTCTTCGATCACTTCAGTTCGAGTGGAAATGCATTTAGAGTGCACAGGGACCCCTTGAAAAGGGGGAGGCGCTGAGTCAGTGATGACCTTCGGAACTTCCACTGCAGTAGATTTCAACAGAACCTTGAACTTAAATTCGGACAGAAGGAGCGGTGCCAGCTTGCCACGAGGTTGTGTACCTGCTCCCATCCGCTGGTTGACATCCATGGAAGGGCTGTTCTGCTCAAAAACTTTGCCCTGACGACGCATTTGCTGAAAAAATGCAAATGCCAACTGCTTGCACAACTGCCATGGGTATTCCGCCTCAGTGCTGGTCGAAAAAACCTGCTGTCCAGTTTCCTTTGAAAGTGTCTTACCCCATGGCAGGTGTTGATGCCGGCCATCGCATTCTCTTTTAAGGTTGTCTGCTATGAAGTTCATTAAGAAACGCGTCTTCTTCAGGCGCTGCCCTCCATACATGCAACTGTGTATGACCTGAAAAATACAACACGCATGCAACTGTCTGAAAAAAGATGTACTCCACATCCAAGATCTGAGAGGGTTCTCGCAGATAAAAGGGATGCCAAGCTGCACGCACTTGTCAATGACCCTTCTTGTGAAGGCGTACAGTTTGTTTGCCAGTTTAACTTTCAAGGCATCCAACCCGCGCAATGTGGGAAGTCCATTCGGGTAGCGTGCACTCCGTAATGGCTGAGGAGCACGTCTCTTTTTTCCAGACTGGAATACTGGTATTTCCCTGGCACGCGAAGACGTGCCGCATGGCGGTGCCAACATCACACCGTCTATTTTCCCTTCATCCAACCACTGCAGTACCATCTCCTGATTCTCCTTTTTGCACAGGTCAACCTTGGAAGTCGGGCCCCTCATTCGTTTTTTGTCCATTACATGATCCAAACCAAGAGCTTCGCCACACAGTTGAATAAAAGCTGCTGTCACCCCCGCTGTTCCAGAAAAAATATCAAGCAAGAAGACTGTGCTATTCACCAGCCTCTGCATTGATGCCATCGCCTTCGTGATGGCAATCACTGTGCTCTTTAGCACCACTGGGTTGTAGGCCATGACCTTCGTCATGGATTTTGGCCGCAGGTGAATGCTTTCTCTCACCGGCGACCTCAGTGACACATTGGCGCTTTTCGCCTGGTTGGTCCCAGGTGCCTTGACGCTTTCGTGTAGGCATCACTAAGACTGAAGGACCTTCGCCCTTAGATTGGCTGCATTCAGCCTTGTTTCGACCAGCCACCGCTAGTCAAGAGCCCTTGTGAGCTGACACATAGGAGTGCTTCTTCCCGCACCCCTTCTTGCAACAAAGGTGCATTCCCTTCTTGCAATCATCTCCATTCTGGCAGGAACCCAAATTGAAAGCAAAACAGTACGGCTTTCCAGTTTCATCGCATGGTGTGCCGCCCCTGAGCTGTTTGGGCATGGGAGTGCGACGCAATCGCTTGAGCTTTGCCGCTTCTGCTGCATTCTTTTTGTTGGACGTTGGATCATCCCTCGTCCTCTTTGGCTCTGCCTCCTTTTTGTGTGGCGCCTGTGTTTCAGGCCTTGTCTGCTGTCTCTTTGGCATGGGCATCAGCATCCACCTCAGCTCCGGCCCATTCAGCAAGGTCTTGACATGCTCGTCCAACGGAAGTTGCCCGTTAGGGCCTGGGCGCAACCCTGCACGGGTCATCTCAGCCAATCTCACATGGAGCTCCCTGTCTGCAGAAGCCAGCTGGCCAAGAGTGACCGGAGAAAAGCCCTCCAATGGGTCCTTCTTGAGTTCAAAGAAGAAGTTTATGATGAGCTCATGCACCTCAAACGACATCGCCTGGGCCACCTCATATGCCACCCCCCTTCTGCGGAGGGCATTGTGGACATCTAATTCTGTAGCCAAGCTTGCCTGCATCTCGGGGTCCTTGTTGACAGCCTTTATGGTTCCGCTTGCATCGGTTTTCCAAACTCGTAGCTCAGCGTCCTCACGGACGTTATTGACCTCTTGTGCCCTGGACGTACATTTCGTCCACTCAATGTAACGGACCCGGCCATCTTCGACCGTCTGAACCACCGCATTGATCAGTTGGTGTGAAGGCTCCAGGACATTCTGGATGACCAGTGGGGACACCCTCGTCTGCAAGGCCTCGATCCTCTGAGCTATCTCGGGAGGTGGTAGCTTTCGAGGTGCCTCCTGTTCATTGGCATCGACCTTCCTTCGAAGATCTGCAGCAGTAAGGGTGTGGCTCTCATAGAACAGCCGTCTCAACTTTGGTGCATCCACGTGGTCCTCTCGTCCAAGGATTGGGACAAGTACACCGTCTATGAAAGGCTGGTCATCACCAGTCCCTGGATTGGTGGCCACTGAGAAGGCGAAGGTGGCATGCGTCACCCAGCCACGTAAACCCAGTGCATCCACTGTGTCTTGGCTAATGCCTATGGCCAACGCCCTGCCCTCAAACACGGCATTGCTGTCTACCAACGACATTGTGGCTTTCCACAAGTTGTGACAGTTAAATCCAAAAAGAAAAAGAATTTTGGCCAGTCGTGCAATCACTTTTGACTTGACGCTTTGCACGCATCCTAAGGTTGATTCAGCCGTAACATATTGAAAAATTCTGCATTGTTTGACAGCGTCCCAAGGCAAACGTCTGGTTGTCATGCAAAAAGTTTGAACAGTCTCACTATCCTGCCATCTGAGTTCCAAGTGCTTTCACTTGCGCTGTGTCTGGGGCCATACACGAATCGCTCACTGATTCTGCAGTGCATGAAACTTTGCATGAGAAATAATCAGACGCTGCTATGCCACGATGAGTCTCACTGTTCAAACCTTCCACAAAAAAAACACCACTAAAAATCTTCTTATGACAACTTGTCAGTCATGCTCAACTCTCGGCACGACTCCAGGGCTGCTGCGTTTTTGCACGGGCTTCACGCACGTCCCAAGGTTCGTACAGGCTGTGCAGGCTATATCACATCACTCAAGACATGAAGCCATGACTGAACTAAACCATCAAGTCAAATGAGTTGAGCACTTCACATGAACGTGGTATGGAACTTCCACGCTTTGAAAAAAAACAGAAACAGTTTGTGTGATTATTCCATATGTCTTGAGACCCGCACTGAGTGAGAGAGCTCCCTCGTTCTAAGTGCTGCCCTCTGGCCGCTGCAGTCTAAAGTCTAAAGCATCCATGGAACATGAAATCAAACTGTCAAAGTGCACCAGTGGAACATGATACCGTGTGACAAGAATTTGAATCTGAACATCCACTGGCAGTCTCCAGAGGTCCCGGCAGCGTTCTGGCGTGTCATTGGGCTGACGCCCACTTGTCAAGCTTACAAATCTTACAAGTCCAGCACATGACAAGTGACACCATCCAAACGACCTACTTGAGACAGACTGCATGAATCCACTGTAAAAGAATGCACTGTGATGAATTGAGAGCCTGACAGTCTCTAACCCTGTTGGCGGCCCACAAGAAATGCAATGACTCCCTGTTGTCATCAGCGCTTGCAAACATCTTCAGTGTTGAGTTTCAAAGACAAGTCAAACCCAAAAAAACACTGCAAACAAGGACATGTCAAAAAAATCAGGTCGCGACTCCAGAGAAACAGCGAGTGCATTTGTACGGCATGAAGTTTCCTACATCTTCGACTTTCTCGAAGTTCCTAGTGGCTAACTTACCGCACCTGAGCACTACTGCCTCACCGTCCTCTTCGATGACTGCTGAGTCTTTGGCAATGTGACAAGAACCACTCTTGACATGTCTGAATACATCAACATCTTGAAGTGAATAGTGCAACCCTTGCGCGAGTGAGGCTCCGACTATAGGGGCAGACACTTCTGCCTCTCGGTCCTCTTCTGAGGTGTTGCACTCCTTCTCAAAAATCTCAGACTCTCCATCGCTGTTGCTTGAAATCGACACTGCACCGTCAGATCCAAAAAGATGCCATCCTTCTGATATAGGAGATTCAGCCTCATATTCATCCAAGGGGTCCTGTGGTGGACCTGCAGTTGGACGTGCCAGGAAGTTCATTGCCTCCTGCAGCGACTTGCATGCAGGATTGCTCCATCGCCTGGCCCTCGAGTCATCTGGCCTGAAAAGGCCTTGGCTGATGATCATGTAGATCCCTTCAATCGCGTGTAGCACCGGGGCTTGGCCGTCCCTCGAGTACTCCAGTGCAGATTTGCTATTTGGGTCCACATGGTATCCCGCAAGCCTCCTCAGCGACTCTGAGCAACAACACTTCGACATCCAGCTGAGTACCGTCGCTTTCAGTGAGCGCGTCCCGATGTCTGACACCGGGGACCCCGGTCTGATCTTTGAAAAAATCTCTCTCAGCCAAACCGTCGCTTGTGATGACTCCAATGGCAGCAACGACCAGTTTCCGCCAGCCAAGGGTGCCGGCATAGTAGGCATACCAGGCTTTGCTTGAAGTCCCGCACTGACCCTGTTCTTCAACCATGGTGTGGCCCAGTCCCCAAATAGTCCAGGAATACAACATGCTGCAGGCAGCAGACGCTTAGCCTGCTTCTGGCGGCCAGCGTTCTTGTGGTGGTAAAGCTCACATTCCAAATAGCCTGAGCCTTGGTTCAGGTCAAGGTATGGTTCATACTGGCAGTGTTGGGCATCACTCCAACGAAGACGAGCATGCATGACCAAGCACACATAACCTGCAAATATAGCCTCTTGGCCAACCCCATTGATGGCGATGTTCTCCATTGCAGAGACTTGCCAAAGCTGCAGCGGAGTTTTCTTCTTGGGCAAAACCACTGGGGTGATCACTGCGCCCTTCAAACGTGGGGACTGAAGGCATGTACCCACGTCAGTGCCCAACATGTGAAATGCAAAAGACAGACTTTCCAGAAAACGAGCAGGTTTCGTCCGAGGTGCATTCAGCTGTCTCAGCTCCACAACGTACCTGTAAGCCTCTTCTTCCTGCACAGGAAAAATACTTGCCTCGTCATCTAAGGCTTTCTTCCACCGTGCAAAAGCCATCAGCGATGAGGCCCTTGACCGCAAAGTTGAAACTGACTTTCTTGACAGAGAATCACGTACAACTTGCTCTACTGAAAAATCTTGAACACGGCCATCAAGAATGCTGCTAATCTGACGTCCTAAAACAGAAGCATCTAAGTTGTCCATCACTATGATCCTCCAGTTCTCCAATGCCCTCCCAAAAGCCCGTTCTTGCGCCACAGGCCAAGGGATGACTGACGTCACCTTTGACCAAGTCACCTTGCCAGACATCTCGGATTGAGCCAGGGTCTCTTCTGACTTCTGCAAGCTGGGTAACGGAGCAAAAACAGGAGGTGGAATCAATCTTGGTCTCTTTCCAAAAATGGCAGACATCGAGCCATGTTCCCAGGGCAACTTGATGCTCGACTTCTTGACGCCAAGCCTGTATGACTCTGCCAACAGCATTCCATCCATGGCACCTACGATCTCACCGCACAAAAAGGCGAGGGGTAAAAAATAACACCCCATTTCAGACCTCCAGGCGGTGAGAACATTGTCCCACCCACCCACCCTTGAAATGAAATAAACGGTGGACAAAGAAGTTAAACAGATCACTCAAGACCAAGAAACTTCTTTGTAAAACAAAACCAGCTTAGAACCTTACACCTTGGAAAAGGTTGGGTTTTGTTTGTTAAAGTTGTTTGTCATCAAAGGAGATTTCCGTTCAATACTTCCTCCTCACCAGAGAGCACACAAGCTCAGAGGGACGCGGTAGTAGAAGACCAGCGTAAGGAGGGAAGCGTAGAGAAACGGACACCAGAAGGACAAACAACAACGACACGAACGCAAGAGGACAGACAAGAGGACGGTGGCATCCCACCTGTGAACCTCATACAAATAAAGGCGTATCACTAAAGTGAGCCGCAGCATGATGGTCCGTGCTTATCCGCATCCAATGTTGTAATCCCTAACCGGTCATCAATTAAATCTTCATATTCAAACCAGCTAGATTGGCCATCAAATTGGGGTGGAACCTTTGGTGTCATTTTGATGCCCATCCGGTTTTCGGAATGACTGGTGGCGGCGAATGCTTCCGGCTCTTCATAAGAAACAATCTGGAGTTGTTCTTCATCTGAATCCATGTTGTGGATTAAGACCATGGCAGCTACTCTAACTTGACCTACAGGTTGCCTCCGCAAGTCCGATATACGGAATGTATGCAGAGAACGGCAGTTCGGCACACGGATCTAGACTTGGCGAAGGCACAGGCTCCGCTACCACTTTGAGGTAGCTATCCCTCTATTAGGGGAGCCCTGGATTACCTGTACAACACCTGAGGCAAGCGTAAGCTGCTGCACTCTTTTTACTACGCAAGATTCTGCTAGTCTTGAGCCATGCGGAGTGCGCATGAAAGATATGAATTAGGAATACATGTCAACAAGCATGAAAGCATTGTGTAGACACGTAAACAAAAATAAATCACAGGGGGAGGGGAGGGATGCACTAGCACTTGCCTCTGCACTCTCCGTAGCACCATGTGCCATCCTCCCCCCCGCCCCCCGGGGAGGGGGGGGCATGCATGGTAGTAGGCCATGCACCATGCACTACTGTCCATTTATGCAATGGCCGGTGTTGGTGAGCATGTTGTGCAAGAACCTGCAAAGTAAAGTAAAAGAATTAGGGGCCCGGTAACGGTACTGTACGGTACGGTACACTCTAGTTATTAAACAGTTGTTATGGTAAGTATAGATGCGCCCTTATGCCTTATGCCTAGTAATCATGTTATAGAAGAGTCGCACAGCCACTGCCACGGCCCACAGCCAGGCCACGGCCCGGCCACCCATACTTTTTTGAACCCTGTCTTTCAGCCTTCGAAGCAGGCAGTCTATGGCTATGGCTTCGGGGGCATTGAATTTTAAGGTCAAAGAAAAGCTCACAGGCTCACAGCTCACAAGACTCACCGCTCACAGCTCTCTTCAAGACCCTGGTTTCTATTGTTATGAGTCTGACTCTGACTATGTTTTTCATTTTTTTGTGATTTGCGAATTTGTGAATGAAATCAATTTTTGTTGTTCGGTGATTGGTGATGATCAGATGATCCCCAATGGAAATGGCAATGTCTGCAGCCCCGAGCTGGAGCCTGGAGCTCTGACAGTGTCTGACAAACAGTGACATTTGAACGGAGTATGGTATTCCTATACTCTGCCTACTCCTGCGGTCCTTCAGCAGCCTACTCAAACTCAAAGGATTTCGACTCGCCGACTCTACTCTCTTCAGTAACGACATTTAAATCCAAGAATTTATCTTATTTTGGTTCACCTCAAGTCCTACACCGCGTTCGCGCATTACGCATAAAAAACAGTTTCAAAAACCAACATGTAAAAATCACTCGACATCCAAATGAAACAAGAAACGACCGCCGTTCGAAAACTCTGCAACATCACTGAGCTCTGAAAAATGACAGGACGGATGAACTCCTTTTTCAACATAAATCGGGGAGCCAGCGATCCGTTGACCGTTTCGCGTCAAAGGAGTTTTTCCTTCCTTCACGCCTGGAGGTGGGATGGGTGTGGGGGGTCAAAACCTCCAGGCGGTGAGAACGTTGTCCCACCCACCCTCCCTTGAAATGAAAAAGTGGAATAAAGAAACATGATTCGACGCATCCACGAAAACATGTAATCTCCACAAAAGAAAAACAGGTTTGATTCCACTACAGGAATAACAAAAACCAGTTTTCGTTTCAAACGTTGTTTTACCTTTCTCTTGAAACTCACCGTTTGTTCACTCCGTCACGCAAGACAAGAAACAACCGCAGGGAGACAGACCGCGCAAGATAAGGTCGCAAAGGTGAGACACAAGAGAGGTGAACAACAGAGACACGAACGCAAGAGAGGGACATGAGGTCGGCAGCTCCCTGCCAATGAACCAGTTTAAGATAAAGGCGTATCACTAAAGTGAGTCGCTGCTTATCTTATTTTGGTTCACCTCAAGTCCTACACCGCGTTCGCGCATTACGCATAAAAAACAGTTTCAAAAACCAACATGTAAAAATCACTCGACATCCAAATGAAACAAGAAACGACCGCCGTTCGAAAACTCTGCAACATCACTGAGCTCTGAAAAATGACAGGACGGATGAACTCCTTTTTCAACATAAATCGGGGAGCCAGCGATCCGTTGACCGTTTCGCGTCAAAGGAGTTTTTCCTTCACGCCTGCCACCCCTTTCTGCAACTGCACCTTCGTGAAGTCACAACACGGCTCGCATCGTGTGTATCCTTTCCTGTCAAGCTCAGTGAAGCAAAGCCTCGATGGGTCGTCACTCACGTTGGATTTTGATGGCACTCTTGAGTACCAGTTCATAGTCTGCATCCAGACATCCAACTCAGCGTTTCTTACAAGCAGCTCGTAGTTGTCAGTCACCGGTGAAAATGACCGAACCAAGGCCGCTTGCGCTGAGTTGTTATCAATAAACCAAAGGACAGCTCTGTGCGACAGAATTTCGCTCCAGGTCAGTTTGGCCACCACGACTGGGAAAATCTCAGCCTGGCAGATAAGCTGAACGCGGCCAGAGGCCTTCCATTCCGACACCCAGAACTCAGGTACATTGTCACCAAAATAGGAGAAGGTGTTGCTATGGAAGTCAACAAGCACCGCACCAAAAGTAACCTGAGCACCATCTTGCTCACAAGCTCCATCGGTGAAAACCAGTATGGGTCTAGTACCGGTCCATGCATTCACAACTCTGGGACCGGCCTGCTGTAAGAGCTCAAGCGCAGAGAGAATCACCTTCTTAGTGTTCTCATCAATCACAACCAATGGACCCTCACGCACTGCCTTGGAAATCAACTGTATTGCCAGTTGGGTGGAACGTCCAAATGTGTGACCTGCAGCATAGAGGAGACGGCCACGCAGCGTCTCGACCAAAGACAAGGGTACCTTCCTCTTGGAAGTGATGCTGTGTACCAGGCTTGCTATGTCCTCCAACCTGGAAGGCTTGTTCATGACCAAGACCTTCCCTTCTGCCATTGATGACAGATCAATCACTGCCCCCAGCATAACAAACTTTGTCGAAAAAGGCAACCGCTTGTCTTCGGAGGTGGATATCCTCCATCCAAGTAAACGCATAACCAACTCAGCAGTTTCCCATGCCGATCCGCACAAAGCTGGGATCTCCAGTTGACAAAAATCGTCAAAGAAATTTGTGTTCACCAGTAAGAACAGCTTGGACATGATGATGCGAAGCGCTCGTGCCATTCGATTGAACGACATTACAGCTGAAACAGATCCAAATGGGAGAGCCACAGATTCGTAGAACTGGACATCGTTGATCTCCGGGTTCCAAACTGCCAGCACTGAGGCCCAGGCATCCTCTGGATGCCTGGCAAGCTGCTTGTAGGCAGCTTTGAGATCTAGAGCCCGTCCTTGGAGTTGTAACCAAGGGCCCTGCTTCTCTGCAGCCGGCTGTTTCAGCACCGGCAGACCGCTCTGGTCAAAAGTGATGGAGCCAATTCCCATAAAGAAGCGCGCAGAGTTGACAACTTCATCGATTCCGTAGAGGGCCAGTTTTTCAGTAGAGGTCACGGAGCAGTTGATCAGGAATTCAGAAAAGTCGTCGACTGCCCGCACCTTTCCGCCCTGTCTAACCCCAAAACGCTTTGACGGGATCCAGCATCCAGAAAAACGCTCATCCAGCTGCTGCATTGTAAAAGGCCCCTTAACCCAGCCATCGCTCAACTGTTGCTGCGTCTCCTGAAAAACTGCTGCAGCGATCTCAGGGTCCGATGCCACCCTTTTGCAAGAGGAGTAAATCATGCGCTTTGACCAAACAGAAGAATCCCTCAGCTGCTGTACTGTGATGGAGGCAGGCTTGATCCTCCTGGGGAATTGCCCTGACGCTTTCATGGGGCGAATCAGAACCCAGAAGTGAGTTCCTCAAACAACGTCTCGTCAGAGACGCCAGCATCTAGACACATCTGCTCAAAAAGCTTCAACCTCTTTCCACTCAACACTGCGTTGACTTGAGGATCCATGCTGTTCCGCAAATTCTTTTCATCTTCCATGAGGCTCACAGCAAGCTTGGTGTAGTGTTTCAAGCTCTTTGCTCTGAACGCCAAAATGTCGGCTTCAGACCAATCACGGATGGCCAACATGGACCTCAAGTTCACCTCGTCAACCAACTGCGGCGAGTCCAAAGGGTGTTGTAAACCTGAAGCCATCTGCAAAAACTCATCAGGCGTGTAATACACTCCAAATTCAGACACCTGTATTTCTTCATCGCCAGTTTCCCCTTTTACCACCTCAGTTCGAGAAGAAATCAGCTTGGAGTGAAGTGGCAAGCCCTGAAAAGGTGCCACGCTGTCATCTGTAATGGTCTTGGGAACGGTGACATCAGATGATCTCACCATGATTTTGTGCTTGAACTCGGCCAAGAGCAGGGGGCCGAGTTTGCCCCGAGGTTGGGTACCAGCTCCCATCCTTTGGCAAACGTCCATGGACATAGAGGCAGGCTCCACTGTCTTGCCCGCCAAGCGCATTTGTTCCGCAAAAGCCAGTGCAAGCTGTTTGCATAAAGGCCATGGGTACTCAGCTTCCGTACTTGTTGAAAAAACTGTCTGGCCAGTATGAGGCGACAGCGTTTTGCCCCATGGTAAATGTTGATGTTTGCCATTGCATTGCAACTTCAAATTGCTGGCTTCGAAGTTCAGTAAAAGTGCGGTCTGCTTTAACCGCTGTCCTCCATACATGCACCTGTGGATGCACTGAAATCGACACTCATCTGGCAGGTCAGAAAAAAACGTTGTTTCCCACATCCAAGACCTCAAGGGATTTTCACAAATGAAAAGGATGTGCAGTCTGATGCAAGTGTCGATGACCCGTCTTGTAAAAGCGTATAGCTTGTTAGCCAGTTTTACCTTCAAAGCATCCACGCCCCTCAACGAAGGAATGCCGTTCGGCCATCGCTTGTTGCGCAGCGGCCGTGGCGCTGCACGTTTGCGCCCTGACTCAAAAACTGGAATTTCTCTTGCTCTGCTGGAAGTTCCGCAGGGAGGTGCAAGCATGACCCCATCAACCTTTCCTTGTTCAAGCCAGGAAATGACCTGGTCCTGTGTCTCCTTTTTGCAGAGATCTGTTTTTGCAATGGGGCCCCTCATCCGTTTTTTGTCCACCATGTGATCCATACCCAACGCATCTCCACCAAGCTGAATGAACGATGCAGCCACTCCGGCTGTTCCAGAAAAAATATCAAGCAAAAAGACTGTGCACTGCTTTGCACTGCCGGAAGATGTTACCCGATCGCCATCGCGATGAGCTTTCTCAAAGTGTGCCTGCTCTTCAGCATGCACGCCAGAAAAGGTTTGCCCTTCGGCAAAGTATGCACCCACCTCTGAGAGCTCTTTCTCAGATGCGAGTACTTCAGCACGGCGGCGCTTACTGCCGCTTTCCTCCATGGAGCCTTGACGCTTTCGTGTAGGCCGCACTGAAGGGAGAAGACCTTCGCCTTCTATTTTGTGTTGGCTGCTTTCAGCCTGCTTTGCTGCATCTTTGTCTAGTCAACCCGCCTTGTGCGAAGAAACAAACGAGTGCTTCTTTTTGCAACCCTTTTTGCAACACAGGTGCATTCCCTTTTTGCAATCATCTCCATTTGGGCACGTCCCCAAATTGAAAGCAAAACAGAAGGGGCTTCCATTTTCATCACAAGGAACTCCTCCAAGGAGTTGTTTGGGCATTGGTGTTCGACGCAACTTTTTCATTATTGTTTCACTACTTGTAAACGTACAACGCCGGGGCTTACACAAAGTTTATCGACGCGCCAGGGTTTTGATTGCGTGTTGAACGACAGGGGCGAACGTGTTTCATTGTTTGAAAACGTCGAGGTACTCGCCACGAAGTGAATCACTTACAAACAACATCACAAGTGAACATGTCATGTAAAACACAAGTGTCAAAATCTGGACTGATGAACGGTTCAAAAGCGGCCACACCTTTTTTGAACAACGCTTTGGGGATGGTAGCGACGAGGTTGAAAGAATCAACGATTGCTGGTTGGCTTCCAGCACAAACGGCAAAATAGAGGAAACAAGGGTGGGAGTGAAGACGGGGAGGGTGTTTTGTTTCCTCGCTAAAAATTGAGGACCCTCCCACCCACACCTTGAATGGAAAGTCACGGACGTGAAATGAATTAAGATGATCCACAGAGAGAACAACTGAGACTGACATCAGTTGAAATTCAGATTTAAGATTTCACAACTGAAAGTGAAAAACAGGATCAGGAAAATTCACAGTGAATAAAAACATTAAACAGTCAAGTGAAATGACAAGACACACAACTGTTGGAGTTTGCAACAAGGTTTCACCGAGGTTGTTTTGCAACACTGGCAAGAGCTACCCCAAACATAAAACACTACAGTAAAAACACGCGTGGAGAACGCGGGACGCAACACGCAAAACCCACGCGGAGGAGTGAGAGCGCACACGGGCGTTGTACAAGTTTGCACATTACCATGTGCAAACAATTTACAAGGTAGCTATCCAATAAGGCAACCATCTTTTTCAAAGAGGTTCAGCTTATTGTTTCACTACTTGTAAACGTACAACGCCGGGGCTTACACAAAGTTTATCGACGCGCCAGGGTTTTGATTGCATGTTGAACGACAGGGGCGAACGTGTTTCATTGTTTGAAAACGTCGAGGTACTCGCCACGAAGTGAATCACTTACAAACAACATCACAAGTGAACATGTCATGTAAAACACAAGTGTCAAAATCTGGACTGATGAAAGGTTCAAAAGCGGCCACACCTTTTTTGAACAACGCTTTGGGGATGGTAGCGACGAGGTTGAAAGAATCAACGATTGCTGGTTGGCTTCCAGCACACCCCGTGCCTACCCCCATTGCTCAAGGTGGGCTGGAGCCACGACACTGATGCGTCTGCATGCTTGCAGTAAAGGGTCATTGAAGCACAGTCTGGAGGGGCCATCTGATAGGTTGCTGTGGCTCGGCACTCTACCGAACCAACTGAGGATTCGGAACCTGGATTCCAGTTTGACAAATTCAAAAAGCATTTTATGGGTAGCCTTGTTGACTCCGTCACCTTTGATGCACGCGGATCGTGCTGCAGTGTTATCCAAGTAGAAAACTGTAGGTGAACCAGATATGTACTTGGTCCAGATCTTGCAGGCCATGACGACGGGCAGGACCTCCATTTCGTAAATGGGGTGTTGAGATTCTTGGAGAAATTCATCTAGGAGAGTGGCTGGAGCCTGTTCACCAAACATTTCAACGGGTGTTCCGCTGGGCGACACCAGTACTGCTCCAAACGTAGCAGGCCTATTGCTACCTGGCTCGTAAGCGCCGTCAGTGAAGATAATCCATGTATGACACAGTGATCGACCAATGGCCACTGGTTTCGAGTCTTGTACTGCGGCCATCAAACGGTGCAAGACGTCAAGGAAACGTTCATTGAAAGTGAGCAGCTTGCCACGAACTCGAGCCATGTTGGAGACCTCCTTGACAAGCCTGTTCAGCAAGCGTCCGTAGACGAAAGATCCAAACCATATGAGGCGGCCATGCAATCTCTCTAGCTCCTTTGGCGCCGCACCGCCCCGCTGGATAAGATCCTGAAGGGTCTCTACGAGCTCGTGTCTTCGACTTTCAGTGTGTTCCAAAGTGAAGCTTCCACCTTGCAAGCTTGACACATCGAAAAGAACTCCAAGTGTCTTGAACCTTTGGGTGAAGGGCACGGCTTTGTCGCCCGAGTCTGCAAAATCCACTCCAAGCAAACGAAAAAGGCTCTCGATGTAAAAGGACACATTCTTCTCCTCTTCAGAGCAGCAAATACATGTGAAATCGTCGAAAAAACTCGTCCAAGCCAGCAACAGGGCGGTGACGCCGATGAAAGTCAGACTGGCCGAAATTCTCAAAAAATGAACCACTGATCCAGAAGCCTCAAACGGCAGTGCCAGGGCGCTGAAGACTCCGTAGCCGCCAGCTGGTTTTTTAACTGCAATCCTCAAGCGCTCAGCATGCCAGGGATCTGTACCGAATTGTTTGTACGCCGACCGGAGGTCGTATGTTCGACCCACAAGGCCCGGCATGTCTGCCTTTGAGGTGTCGTCAAGCATGGACGCCAAATAGGCGCACAACTCATCCACCGCTTGGACCTTCAGTTTTTCACGCAAGCCAAATGCTGCATTCACCCCGGCGACTGAAAAATCGTCGACCAGTCGTATCTTTGATTTCTGGGGGACAGGAAATCTCCGGGCGATAAAACATTCGCCAAACTCATCACTTTCGCCAAGCCATCCTTTAGAGACTTCACCCAGGGTTTCGTCCCAAACAAATTGATCATGTTCGCCAGGCTCTGCTCGCGAAATGGATTGCAAAACTGAAGCGTTCAAACCAGGGGACATGTTTACGAGCTGCTGGACACTCAAGGAGGGCTTCCGCACGTCTGGCCGAAAAATTCCAGTGGTCGGAGCCCAACCTGTCAACGCAAAACCAGAAACCATGTCATCAACAACTGAAGCATCTGGGTATCCCAGATCCAAAAGGATCTCTTTCCAAAGAAGAAGTCGTTTGCCCCCAAGTATCTTCTTGAGGTGGTCGGGCAACCCTTCATGAAGAGCTTTTTCCTCCTCATGCAACTCCAAGGACCTGCGCAACCACCTCTTCATGAAATTTGCGCGCTTCTGAAAACGTTCAGCCAAATTTCCCCTGATCAGGCTTTCCAGTGCAGGCCTGACCATGGGTGGTACTTGGGCTATAATGTCCCTGGGGTGGCCTTTTTCAACGGCCTCCTTGAGAAAATCTGCGGGTTCCCTGGGAACCCCAAAGTGTAAAAGCTCGCAAGGTTCTTGCTCCGACCAGCTGTCTGAAAAACGCACGTCAGCGTGCTTCTTCAAAATGCCATCTCTGAGCACACCCCCCGGAAAAACTTTACGATGACAAACTTTGGCTCCTTTGGGAAGCTCTGTCAAAAATTTCGAAATAGAATTTTCGTCATCCACCTTGGCAAGAAGGGGCACATAGTAACCGTATTCTGAAACAAGTGGTCGCAACTTTTGTCCACGAGGTTGAGTGGTGAACAGTTGCCTGGCTGCTGCATTATGAACCTCCTTCAGCTGTCCGTGCAAATCATCAAAGAAAACAAATCCAAAAGATTCCGCTTCCGATTTCAAAATGGATGCAATTCGATCGCAAAGCAACTGTGGATATGCAGCCTCTTCAGCAGTGGGAAAAATGGTTTGCCCCTTTGCATCCTTGTATGGTCTCCAAGGGGCGTGAGCATGCGACTTGTTGCAATCCAGTTGCAAAGAAGAAAACAAATCATCGGACGGCCGACGAGGGTTCCAGCTCCACCAGGCTGTGCGCTTGTCCCTTTTGCCACCATGCATGCAATGATCAAAATATGAAAAATGCAAACATTGGAAATCCTCTAATAGCTCCTTGATGGGAGTGCAAAGCCAGAAGAAAGAGTTCTTGGGGTTTTCGATGCTCACGGACACCCCCAACGCAATGAGATGCCGCACCAGGATGGCTGTGGCTGCATAGCATTTGTTTGCTTTGTCAACGCGCTCCTGTTGACTGGGTGGCAAATCAGGTAGGCCATTCGGATATGCCTCCGACCTCAAAGGTTGTGGTCCTTTCGAGGGATCCTCTCCAGGTATTGGGCGCCCACGCGCCCGAGATGCTGTGCCGCATGCTGGCGCAAAATGCGCGTGGAGGAGATTGCCAGCCTCCACATCGATGTACTCAATGACGCGTCTCACGTCTTCATCATTCGTGAGATCAGCCTGAAAAATTGGAAAATTTTCTGACCTTTGACTTGTGTGGTCCACTGCAACTGCTTCAAGCCCCAGTCCCCGACAAGCCTTTGATAGTCTGCAGCTTCCTGCAAAAATCTCAAGCACAATGCAACGCGAATTTGTAACACCAGCGCATGACCCCTCGGTCACTGCTGTAGCCAAGCTGCTGGGCCCCTCTTCCAAGCTTGCACGCTTCGGTGCATTGGTGTCCACAGGTTTGCCTGTATCACTGACAGATGGGCTCGCAGGAGGCTGACTAAGTAGTCAAGCTGAGTGGCACTTGTGGGCTCCATGCCCTGGCTTCAGGCACTTCATACATGAGTGGTAGCCGAAGCGACAACGACCTTTCTTTGTGGCATTGCTACAGTTCTTGGGCAGATTGTAGTTCCAACACAACGGCTTGTTGTCGGCCGTCTTGCTGTGAAGCCCTTGGAGCTCTGATGGGACCTGAGCTGTAGGCTTCGCATCTTGTCTTGGTCTCTTGGTTGGAGGCTGCCTTGGAGCGCCGGGGCTGCTAGGTGGTGCAGCTCGTTTCTCGACCCTGGGAGTTGCCACCAAGTGCATTGTGATCCTTGGGTCATTCATGTACATTCGCACCTGAGCGTCCAAGGGAGGGCCTCCATTGATTGCCTGAGCTTTCAGCGGGCCATCGTACTCTGATGCTATCAGCGTAAACATCTCCTGGTCGGCCTTGACAAGCTGCTGCAAGTTGACTGCATTGAAGTTTGCTGGAGCTTCATGCATCATGGCCCTAAACAGGCGGTTGACCCACTCCATGTGGGCGTCCCAAGACATGAGCCCCACCAGATCAAACGCCAGTCCACGCCGCTGCAGCGCGTACATCAATTTCATTTCAGTGCCAATGTCAACTGTGCTGAGTCCATCACTTGAGACGGTTTTGATGGACCCCTGTTCCAGCGTCAACAGCTGCTTTTGCTTGTTCTTGGCCTCATTCTGAATCTCGGCATCACGTGTTGTGTACCTTGATGGAGCCACATATACCAATGCTCCCGTCTCCACAATGTGGAAGCACAAGTCAATGAGGGCGTGGCTCGCCTTCTGCTCGTGCATGTGGGACAATCCTGTAATGCGCAGCTGCTGCGCTTCGAGCCGTCTCCGCTTTTCGATGAACGGCAGTGACTTCGATGGCTCAGTAGTGTCTCCAGTGACGGCCTGGCGTCTGACGTCTGCCATGACCAATGTTTGCGACTCGAAGTGCAATCGCTTGATCACTGAAACTTCGGCCAGAGAGGCTGGCCCCATGACCACTCTGTCACAGAAGCGCTGCATCTCCTGGTCAGCAACATCCTGTTGAGGAGTACCCACTGCGAAGGCCAGGGCAGAGAAAGTATTGATCTGTAAATTTGTCATCAAATCATACAAGCCATCCAACAACTCGTGGCATCTTTTCTCGAATGCCGCTTCCGAATCTATGAGTGACATCGCTGACGAATCGGGCCACTTCGGCACTAACCGGCTGAGAAATAAACTGAAATAAAAGTTTTGATGTCTTGCACGTCCTGTCAAATCAAACTCATAGAATTTCCGAGGAATGCAACTGATGAAGCGATCTGAAATTATGCTCCCGCTGTTTACAGGAAAACGGGCCAACCTGTCAAAAAAAAAATCGACTGTCCAAAAATTAAAACTCATGCGACCTGGAAAAAATCTTTGGGATGAAAAACTTCGTTCATTGATGCTTGCATTCTGAGTTTGGCGCACACCAGCTCAAGCCGATCATGCCACGAAAGACGATTGGCCAAATGAGTCGTGCATGGTGGCACTGGCCACTGTAAAAAGATCAATGCGGCATGGGTTTCAAATCATTGACATGATGTGATCAAATGACAACTGGCTCAGGCTGTCCGTTTGTCACGTTTGCCGTTTGATGGGATGTGTGCAACATGAAGTCCCATCAGCAAAGGAGAAAAAACAGGCACTACCGTACCGAGAAAAACACTGTTGATTGAGCATTACATGACATGCAATGGATTCTCATTTGATCATGGGATGCATCTGCATGAATTCCCTGGAAAAGCCACATGTTTGGCTGCGCTCAAGACTGCGCTCATTTTTGGCAGCTCTCGGGGTCAGCACATCTACCTATATTCTTCCATACGTCTCCAACACGGGTGGCAACAGGGAGTGTCAAACCTGGACTCATGAATGCGGGTGTAACGTTCTTCCTCCGCAAGCCGTCCACACAAAAGTATGCGCTCATTCTGCATCTCCATCAAATGCAAGGTCTTCCATTTCCTGTGCTGCACCAACTTCAGCGTCTTGGGCACACTTGGTGGCCTAACAGGCCTTCTGGCTCCACTGTGTTGCGCGCCCTCCTCATCGCTGCTCGAAGAGGTGGTGTGCACCGAGCTGCGGTCAGAGTCGGAGCTGGACACCAAGTCCACCACAGGATTGTCTGACAGTTCGACCCAAGAGGTGGAATCTGTTTCCACTTTGCATGAGTCTTTGTCAGCAGTTGCACCGGGCCCCAGGCCTTTCTCAACGCTCGAGTTGTCAGGGACGCCAATGCTGTCAATTGCATCTTCAAAAATCCCTCGCTCCATTTCATCAAAACCACTGAAATCATCAAAGCTCACTCTTCTGCCAGGAAAACGACCACTTCTGTTGGCGTCAGGAACAAATGCATGGCATCGCACCTCCATAAGTAACCGCTCCAGCATTCGCAGCGGTCTGCCAAGACTGTCTCTGCTGTAAACCAGTGCAGATTTGAATGCCATGGTGTGACCACCCAAGATCATGCGGTCTTCCCATGGCAACCCTCGTTTGGATGCCCAGGACAACAACGTGCACTTGCAACTATGTGATGTGATTCTTCTGTCACTGAAATCGATCTGCATGTCATTCAGCAAAAGATGCGTCCAATGTTTCATCTCTTCACTACTCAAGGGCCGAGTGCCAGGCTTGCCATCTGCTTGTGGTGCTGGCATTGTAGGGTGACCTTTCTCGAAGTCAATGCCTATGGCCTTGCGCACACTTACCCATTCCTCAATCCATGGGTCGTCTGAGACTCCCAATGCCGGGGCACATGCATGCAGAAAACAATTTTTGAAAGCCGCAGCAAACTTGGTCTTATGGTCTGAGATGCGTAGTTCAATGTATGAAAGCACACCATAGTCATCAGCATCAAGAAGACACGACTCAGCCTGCTGGAGGTCTGACCACCTACTTCGACTGTAAACTGCCAGCAATATCATGCCTGCCATTAGCCTGTTCCAGAGATCCTGCTCTGAATCCATCAAGACTGCATGAAAAGCCAACAAGTCCTTCAATCTGAAAGGGTCTGCCTGTCGTTTGGGGCCACCTGCATGAAAGTTTGAAATCCCAAGGCATCTCCTTGAAGACGTCAACGGTTCCAACTGTGGAATGCCTATGACATGTTGTGCAAAAAGCATCGCTTGAATGACACTCTGACTCCGAGACGCCGGGGCTCCAGCCACTCGTTCTCCGTCAAGGAAGTTGTAAAAATCACTTTCAGATCCAGGAAAAATGATTGCATTTGTTTCCAAAAAGTGCACAAAACGAAGGAAAGAATTGACCCTTTTCCGCATTGTTGCAGGGCTCTTCTTGCCAAGGATGTCCCTTAGCATGCGCAGTTGCCCTGTCGTGGAACTGCACTGTTCAAGTTGCTCCACCACTGTGATGGAACTTGGAAGCCCTATCAACACATCAAGCCATCTTCTAAGCGATACCTGAAAATCAGCCTCACGTTTGTCTTGCCATGAAACGTCTGCACTGGATTTGACAACATGATGCCATGACACTGGTTGAACTGTTTTGGCCTTCTTCGCAGGTTGAGGCTCGACGTCCAGGGCACACTGAACGAAAGCAGGGGGAATGGTGGCCTTCCATTCACGACGCTGTGGCAAAACTGAACCCTCAAAAAATGATTTCCAAAAAGGTCTTTCCCATGGCATCTGAACTGTGCTGGCAGCTGGACATTCTGACCAAACACGTTGAAAATCAAAATTCTCTGAAGACATCACTGTAGGTCGTGACAGAGGTTCAGACCATCGACAATGGCTCGAGTATTCGGCCGGGAATGTATGCCAAAGTATGAACACCAAAGCAACCAAAATGAATCCGAAAGAGCCGATCATCGAAAAACCATGGCCACAACCCCACAGCTGTTTTGTTTCCTCGCTAAAAATTGTTTTGTTTCCTCGCTAAAAATTGAGGACCCTCCCACCCACACCTTGAATGGAAAGTCACGGACGTGAAATGAATTAAGATGATCCACAGAGAGAACAACTGAGACTGACATCAGTTGAAATTCAGATTTAAGATTTCACAACTGAAAGTGAAAAACAGGATCAGGAAAATTCACAGTGAATAAAAACATTAAACAGTCAAGTGAAATGACAAGACACACAACTGTTGGAGTTTGCAACAAGGTTTCAACGAGGTTGTTTTGCAACACTGGCAAGAGCTACCCCAAACATAAAACACTACAGTAAAAACACGCGTGGAGAACGCGGGATGCAACACGCAAAACCCACGCGGAGGAGTGAGAGCGCACACGGGCGTTGTACAAGTTTGCACATTACCATGTGCAAACAAATTACAAGGTAGCTATCCAATAAGGCAACCATCTTTTTCAAAGAGGTTCAGCATCTTGCGGCCTCTGCTTTCGACTTCTTGTTGTTGTCGTTCCTTGTCCTTTTTGTATCTGTATCCCCTGCTGCAGCTGACGCCGTATGATCGGCAGGCGCAACCTTCAGGGCCTGGCGCTTTGGGAGTGGCATTAACATCCACTTCAACTCTGGGCCCTGTATCAAGGCGTTGACATGGTCGTTCAACGGGAGTTCGCCGCCAGGGCCTGGATGAAGACCACCTCTTGTCAGCTCGGCAAGTCGCACATGTAGCTCACGATCTGCCGCAGCCACTTGAGCCAGAGTCACCTGTGAAAAACCTTCCAAAGGATCCTTTTTCAGCTCGTAGAAGTAAAAATTCAGAAGAGCTTCATGGACCTCAAAAGACATGGCCTGAGCAATCTCGTATGCAACACCTCGTCTGCGAAGTGCATTGTGCACATCAAGCTCGGTAGTGAGAGTTGCTTGCAGGTTGGGCTCCTTGGAAATTGCCCTGACCACTCCAGAGGCATCCGTTTTCCAAATCTTCAGGTCTGAGTCCTCACGGATGTTGTTGACCTCCTGGGACCTTGATGCGCACTTCGCCCACTCTATGTATCGAACCCTTCCGTCCTCCACGCACTGCACAATAGCATTGATAAGTTGATGGGAGGGCTCCAAGACATTCTGTATGACCAATGGTCGGATCCTGGCTTGCAGTGCTTCAAGCCGTTGTGCTATCTCTGGAGGAGGTAGCTTCCTTGGAGCCTCCTGTTCATTGGCTTCCACTTTACGGCGTAGGTCCGCCGATGTCAAGGTGTGGCTCTCATAGAAGAGCCGTCGCAACTTGGGTGCATCGACATGCCCTTCATTTCCCAAAATGGGCACCAGAACTCCGTCACTGAAGTTTTGATCATCTCCAGCTGCCGGGTTGGTTGCCACTGCAAATGCAAACCTGGCATGCGTAACCCAACCACGCGTAGCCAAGGCATTAATGGTCGGCTGAGGGATGCCAATTGCCAATGCCCTGCTCTCGAAAACCGCATTGCTGTCTACCAGCGACATTGTGGCTTTCCACAAGAAAGAAAAAAAAGATAAACAATTGACGGTGAAATTCAATAGCCAATGCTGTCAAAACTTTCTGACAAATAAGTACTGTCACCGTTGGGTTTCCTCTCACAGTGCTTTCACTGCGGCTTGCTGGAACCGATTCGACAACATGTTCAAAAAAATGATTGGTTGAAGGTAGTATCAACGAAGGACATCAATGCAATCTTCCGCACATGTTCAAAGTGCACTCATGCACAAATTGAGACTACAATCTGCAACAAGGATAAGTGATACAGGTCCAACCGCTTCCGGCTTTCCAAGTAAGGCTCAAGCACTTTTGCCGCTCACGCTCCAGGTAATTCACGCAATTACAAATCAAGAGCCCTTTGAACTTGGAAAAGACGCACAAAAAGAAATCACTTGTTGGCAGTCAAAAACACAATTCAAAAAGATGAAATGCAAGTTTCTTTGGTCAGTGTCGTTCCAAGCTGTGCTCACACGGCCAGACGCTAGGTTCCATACACACTGCAGTGCTGGTTCATCTGTTCTGCAAGCAAACGCACTGCTGACAAAGACATGTGCAATAACTAAAAAACATTTGACGATATGAAAAATTGTCCACCTCAAATGATCTTGACTTCTGTGACACTGCTGCATGTCTAAGGCCGGAGCACCTCACGCTCATAGGTCGTCGCCATCGACGTTACAAATCACGTAAGAACAATTGACTTGCGTGGCAACAAAACACATGCAAACTGTGCAGTAAGTCAAAGTCAACGTCTGACAGAAGAAATGAATTTGAGTGGCAAAACAACCTAGTGATGTCCCTGCCGTTTGAACTGAGATCCAAACGCAAATCTGCAAAGGTCGCTGCTAACAGCATCCCGTGGCCACTTCCGTCACAGGTGCAATGCACAAGACAGGACATCACTGCGAAACAAGTAAACAACTGAAATGAGCATATGGCTGTACACATCTGAATGTTTGTTGCCTTGGATTTGAGTGCACTCCTTTTCTCCCTTATGGCACATGAAAAAGGAGTGCGTGTCGGAGGCTGCAACATTTGGTGAGCGGTGAGCTAACACGATCTCACGGTTGCTTGGTTCCTGACATTCTGTGTTGTGGTGGCTCACATCACCCTGGTCAAACACGAAAATCAGTCAAGAAAAAAAACACACTGCAGTCTCAGCTTGCCACTCCGGAAAAACATCTGCTACACTTATATGGCATGAAATTGGCGACATCATCAACATGTTCAAAATTTCTGGTTGCAATCTTGCCGCATCTTAAAATTATAGGGTCACCATCGTCCTCATCGACTTGTGACTTCTTTGCAACATGACAGCAACCACTCTTGACATGCTTGTAAATTTCAATGTCTCCTACTGAGTAATGCAGTTCATTCGCCATTGAGGCCCCGACGATTGGTGCAGCAAACTCTGCATCCCTATCTTCGTCAGACGTCTGACATCCGGTCTCAAAAAGCTCATGACTGCCCTCACTCACGCTAGACAGAGAAATCTCACCATCAGAGCCTACAAGTGTCCACATGTCCTCAACTGGGGACTCAGGCTCATACCCTTCAGACACAGCACCGTCTGGAACATGTTGCTGCCGTGACAAATAGATCATCGCATCTTGCAGGCTCCGAACATGCGGGATCTTCCAACGTCGCGCCCTAGAAACATCAGGATCAAAGATGTTCTCCTTGATGATGAGCATGATCCCTTCGATTGCATGCAAAACCGGAGCTTGAGCATCGCGAGAATACTCCAACGCTGACTTTGACCCTGGATCCACGTGGTAGCCAGCCAAACGTCGAAGGTCTTCCCTACAGCTGCACTTTGCCATCCAGCTCAACACTGTAGACTTCAGTGAGTGCGTTGCAATCTCAGAGATATCGCACGAAGGCCTGAGTTTGGCTAATATCTCTCTGATCCAAATAGTGGCCCCGGCAGACAGCAGGCCATGGGAAGCAGGCGCCTGGATTGTTTCTGCCTCCCTGCAGTCTTGTGATGATAAAGCTCACCTTCCGAAAAACCTGTACCATTGTGCAAGTCCGTGTATGGTTCATATTGGCAATACTGTCCATCCGACCATCTCAGTCTCGCATGCAAAGTCATGCAAACATAACCAGCAAAAACAGCTTCTTGACCACTGCCATGCATAGCAATATTCTCAAAAGCTGCCACTTGCCATGCCTCCAAAGGCACCTTCTTCTTCGGCGGCACCATCGGTGAGATGACGGCTCCTTTGAGTCTTGGTGAATGCAGAGATTGCCCCACGTCAGCTCCAATCATATGGAAAGCAAATGTCAGGCTCTCCAAAAATCTTGTAGGCTTGGTTTTCGGGGCATTCAGCTGACGCAGTTTCAAGATATATCTGTAGGCCTGCTCTTCAGACAGTGGAAAAATTTTTGCATCATCATCCATTGCTTTCTTCCACCTTGCAAAAGCCATGATCGAAGACGATCTGGAGCGCAGCGTTGAAACCGATTTTCCAGCAAAGGAGTCACGAATGACTTGCTCAACTGTCATGTCATTCACAGTGCCATCAAGGATGCTTCTGATCTGTCGACCCAAAATTGAAGCTTCCAAATTGTCGACCACGATGATCCTCCAGTTTTCCAAGGCTCTTGCCAGAGCCCTCTCCTGAGTCACTGGCCAGGGAATCACTGAAGCGACCCTCGACCATGATACCTTTCCTGCCACCTCTTTCTCGTCAAAGGTTGCCAAAGGTTCGCAATCACTGGGCAAAGGAACAAACCTTGGGGCTTGTATCAGCCTCTGTCGCTTTCCAAAAACAGGCTGCATTGCCGTCCTTTCCCATGGTAAAATGATCGAAGATCTCTTGACTCCCAGCCTGTAGCTTTCAGCCATGAGGAAAATTTCCATGGCACTAAACGCCTCACCGCACAAACAAATGAGAAAGAGGATGGCCCTCATGACCACCCCGTTTCAAAACCTCCAGGCGGTGAGAACGTTGTCCCACCCACCCTCCCTTGAAATGAAAAAGTGGAATAAAGAAACATGATTCGACGCATCCACGAAAACATGTAATCTCCACAAAAGAAAAACAGGTTTGATTCCACTACAGGAATAACAAAAACCAGTTTTCGTTTCAAACGTTGTTTTACCTTTCTCTTGAAACTCACCGTTTGTTCACTCCGTCACGCAAGACAAGAAACAACCGCAGGGAGACAGACCGCGCAAGATAAGGTCGCAAAGGTGAGACACAAGAGAGGTGAACAACAGAGACACGAACGCAAGAGAGGGACATGAGGTCGGCAGCTCCCTGCCAATGAACCAGTTTAAGATAAAGGCGTATCACTAAAGTGAGTCGCTGCATGAATATATGGCGGTATTGAGTATTGAGTGAGTATGGCGTTCTAAATGTAAGAACTTGAACTTAAAAACAGCTTTTGTAACCACAAAGCCTGCGGAAATTGCGCACGTATTGGTCCATGCTTCTTGCATGCATTTGGTTTCTGCACAAACTGTCTGTTCCAGTTTGGATTAAATCAACGTTCCAGCCGCCACGCAAAATGACATGACAAGCAAAATACTTCCGAGATACGGAGAACACAAAAACACGTGTTCAAAAGCAAACAAGAAATAAAACTGCCAAACATCTGTGAACGCTGATGGATGCCGAAAAACCCGCACACTCCTTTTTTTCTGTGGTGACGACTTTGGGCGTGGTCAAGTCGCGTTGCTAGGCATCTCATTGCCACACAACTTCACTCATCCATTTTGAAAAACATAAGGCCGGTTGGCCGTTCCATCCATCCAAAAACTGCCATGCTGTTCTTTTCCAAACCAAAGCAGGAGCACACGTGGCATCGCGTGCAGGCTTGCATTTTCACACGCGGGAGTGCCAGTTGCGAGCTCGTCTGCACGGGTTGCTCCGGAAAGATCAAGGCTTCCATTAAAATCAACGAATGTGTCAGCCCGCTCCACAATTGGAAAAGGGAGTCCAGGTACTTGGGACGCCCGAGAAATTGCAGCACCGCAGCACAGGCGGCAACTATTTGCTCGAACTGCCGGACACGGCTCGCGGTATGGTCGCTGAGCTGTTGTTGCAAAAATGCAACGCCGACAGTCGCCATGACAGTGAAGTTCACGATGTCAGGTGTCTGCATCTATGGGATGCGGCAAATGGAAACCAGGGTGTCGAGTGCCGAGTGCTTGAACAGTGACTCAGGAGAAACGAAATTTCAACTCAAAAGGGTGGGAGTGCAACGGGGTGGGACAAAATTTGTCACCTTGAGTTGAAAACATTTCTTGAAACCAAAAATGGCACATCAAATGACTGTATCCAACGGAACCATACTGCACATGCTGAAAAGTGACGTCACGAGAAAGCAGCACTGAAAACAAAACCTTTGGTTTGCACTACACGGTTTGAAACAGGTTTGTTTCAAGAGCCGGGCATATAATTTTTGGCGAGTGTGTTGGAAACACTGCTGTTTTTCTTTTTTGGTTTCAAGGTGTTGTGAGCGCAGGTTAAGATGCAGTTGCAAGGAACCCCAGGTTGAGGTTTGCGGGGCTTTGAAAATTTACATAAATTTTCAACTTACACTTTTGATTTAAGGCACTATCAACAGGTTGACAGTTTGCTTAAATCAACGTTCCAGCCGCCACGCAAAAATGACATGACAAGCAAAATACTTCCGAGATACGGAGAACACAAAAACACGTGTTCAAAAGCAAACAAGAAATAAAACTGCCAAACATCTGTGAACGCTGATGGATGCCGAAAAACCCGCACACTCCTTTTTTTCTGTGGTGACGACTTTGGGCGTGGTCAAGTCGCGTTGCTAGGCATCTCATTGCCACACAACTTCACTCATCCATTTTGAAAAACATAAGGCCGGTTGGCCGTTCCATCCATCCAAAAACTGCCATGCTGTTCTTTTCCAAACCAAAGCAGGAGCACACGTGGCATCGCGTGCAGGCTTGCATTTTCACACCCCACCTTTAACCGGTTCTGGCAATTTGCCCAAACACTTCTCAATGACAATTCGAATGAGGTCTGGCGAAAGGGGTTTCACATGAATCCCATCTTGCTTACCTCGAGATGGGGCATCGGCAACATTGCTATGGGAAGGCACGCGCGTATACCAGGCAAGGATACCACCGGTGTCTTCCGCTTCCAAGAGCTGACTGACTAGAGACCTTCCAGGCTCAGTGCGAGCAGAGCCACTGATGCTGACATCTCTTGTGGAGTTGTTATCGATGTAAGCAACACAAGGGCGGTTGCGCAACTGCTTTCTCCAAACTATCAACGCAACCAACAATGCAAGAAGCTCAGCCTCAAAGATAACGGTGCTCTTTTCAGGGTATCCTAAGGCTAGTATCTCCGTGGGAAGGAGCGAAATTGAAAAGGATGAGAGCTGCTTACCTTTATTGTCAACAAGAACACCACCTAGGCCGCAGGGCCACTCAGTATCGCATGGGCTGAAGGAGGCATCAGTGAAAACGAAAAAGGCAACATCCCACAAGGGAGTTATCTCCCTTGGCCTAGAGTTTAGGAGGCAATTTCGGAAGGCTTTCAAGCAATCACACGTGTGGTCATCCAGGTTGTCACTCTGACACCGGTATGCGTGTGACGTGACAGCATTCAGGCAAAGCTTTGCTGCCCGTCCCCAAATTTGTGCTTTTGCGAACTGCATTCGGCCCTGTAGCACAAGCGCGGTTTGTACACTCATGTTGTTGGCCTCCAAGACTTTCTCGATGAACGCAACCAGCTCATCGACTCGTTTCTTGGTGTTAGCAAAGGATACCACTCCTTCGTGCCACCTGGAGCAATCGATTTCAACTCCCAGAGCTTTGAATTTTTCGTCAAAGGGCTGGTCCTTGTCACCCAAAGAGATTGCCCACCCTAAGAGTTTGAAGAACTGCTGCGCAACTATGGAGACCAACTCCGTCTCACCAGCTCTTGCTAGGGTGATGAAGTCGTCAAAGAAATTGCTCCAGGTTAAATAAAGGGCTTTGCATCCTAGCCACCAGAGGGAGTGGGCCACACGAAGGAAACTATAAACTGAGTTGCTGGCACCGAATGGCAGTGCTCGCATAGCAAACACTTTGGGGCCCTTCGACTCAGGGTCGAAGACCGCAACATAGGAAACCCACTTTGAGCATGGCGAAATACCTAGTTGCCTATAGGCCGAGGAGAGGTCGATGGTCTTGCCAAGCCACTGTTCTCCAGGGGAGACCTTCAGGAGCTCCATGCACAAGGCAGCAGCTACATCCAAGGTGTGTAGCTTTGTCGCACTCTCTACCTGGACCGTGTCATTAACCCCAGAAGCTGAAAAATCATCGATGAGTCGGATCTTCAAAACGTCGCCAGAGGACTGCCTTATACCGAAACGGCGACTGACCACTGCGTCCGCAGGGAGCTCACTTATTGGTATCGGCCCTTCTAGCCAGCCACATTCCAGTTCTTCCAAAGTTTTCTGCATAACAGTTTGGTCTATCTCATGGTCACCTGAGGATCTAATAGACGCAAGCATGGAACTTCGGGACGCACGGGCTGAACTTGCTAACTCCTTCAGAGTGATTTTTGCAGGCTTAAAGCAAGGCTCAAATGTGGGGACCACAGGCGCGGCACCAGCTAATTGGGTGCCATTGACAACCTCATCAAACACAGCAAGGTCTGGATAGCAATAAAACTCCAACATCTCTTTCCACAGAAGAAGGCGCTTCGGCGACAGAATGCTTTGGAGGGACTGAGGGAGTCCCTTGTGAAAGACTACCTCTTCACCATTTAACGCTTTCGCTCTGGACAGCCAGCGAGCTAAGGTCTCATGGCGATGTTTGGCAACCTCGAAGATGGAGTGGGAGGCTACAAAGTCAACAGCTTCTTGCAATGCACTCGGGAGCTTTGACGACTTGCCAACAGGGTGGCCGGCTGCCACAGCATCGTTGACAAATTGCTCGCAAGTTCTATAAACACCAAAGTAAAGGGTCTGGGACTCGCTTTGGCATTTATTATTCTTAGGAAAAGTTAAATTATCCCCAACCAAGTTATTACCCCCTTTTAACCGGAGTGGTGGCCTAGTGAGCAGGCGGGAGCCAGGGGGGATCCCATGCCATTCTGATTTCAGTTGCTGCCCCGGCAAAACTGGGGGCTCTTGGCTTGTGTCGGCTGCAATGGCGACAACATGTGAAAATTCAGAAAGCAAAGGCGGTATCTTGGTGGCCTTTGGTTGCTGGCCAACAATGGCACGCAGGTGTTGATATGAAACAGTTTCTGGTGCTGAAAACTCGATTGCTGGAGGCTGCCAGCCTCTGGATATGAGCTCTTGGGCCAGGTGAAAGGCAATTGCATAAGCAAGTGGCATAGGGTAAGCTGTCTCCTCTGCTGTGGAGAATTTCTTCCGCCCATCCGGGCCAGATACCATACCCCAAGGCTTATGTTTATGCTGTTTGGACTCACCAGGGCAACACTTGCACAGTTCAGCCAATGAAGCTGTATTGTGAGCAAGAGCGGTCCACTTGGGGCGTTCTGACCCATATGCACAGGCTTGGTGTGCGGTAAAGTTCAGCAGCTTACGCAATGGAGCAAAAAAAAAGGATGCTTAAAGTCCAGCTTACGGCGCCAACCAGTCAATACCTCCTTGTTACAATATGGAAACTTGAAAGTGCGAAAACCGACAAACACCAAAAATGAAAACTGCCGTGCATCAAACAACTGACATCTGAACGAACGCGCAGCCCTCTTTTTCCATTGACAACGATGGGAGTTGTCCAGGTACAGGCCTCATTGGCCAAACTTTGAAAAACCTTCAGCAGCCATCCATTGCATGTCCATTGGATCTCATGGGTTGATCCGTTCATTCAGGCTTTGCATGGTTCAGAGGGTGGCACCAACGCCAAGCACTTGCACCAGCTTGACGGTGCCACATACGTCATACACATCGCTGAGTCAAACCCCCGGCTGA